TCCTCATCTGTGAAAAGGGCATACAAAATACTGACTTCAGAAGAAAGGTCCTCACAATTCTTAAACGCGGTCTTGCAGATAATGTGCTGGGAAACCTGGACTATTTAGCTACTGTTGATAATAACGTCTGTAAGTGTGTTTTCCTTCCATCAGACACAAAAGCGCTTTACACCGTTGTCTGCAGTGATGCTGGGGTGAGGGGGTGCGGGGCAGCTTGCACACACTCTGAACACTGGGTGAAAATGGGAAAAGCTGACTTTTAGGGTTTGTGTCCCTGGGACTCAGTTGTCTGGGGACATGAGCCCTTGAAGGAGAAAATGAAACCACAGTCTAACACTTGAACACGCGCGTGGCTGTTCTGATCTGCGGCCACTGCCGAGGCCATCTTGTCACCTGGTCTTCCTGGTGATGCTGGGCTACACACTGAGCCCCTCGGGGGCATTGCCTTGGTGACAAGGTGCCAGTGACAATCCCAGCTCCTGGTTCTTGAGTCAGGTAGTGTTCCAGACAGAAACCAGAAATTGCTCTCAGGGAGTCAGTTCATTTACTCAACAAATACTTGTGAGCATCAACTACATAGGAGACACTATTCTGGGCTCTACTCGCCGTAGTGAACAGATCCACGCCCGCACTCCAGTGGGGGAGAGAAACAATACACACGTCACTGTGGAATATTGAATATTTCGGGTGGTAGTAAGTATTACTGAGAAGCAGAAAACACGGAGAGGAAGATAAGGAAGGCAGGAGTGGGGAGATGTGATTTTGGGGACGGGAAAGCTGCAGCGGTGACGTGACATTTGAGCAAGGCTTGAAGGAGGTGAGGGAGGAAGCCATGTGGATATTGGCAGATGCGCCTTCCAGGCAGATGGTACAAGTGCAAAGGTCCTGTGGTGGGTATTTTTCTACAAGGCAGAACCCAGGACACAACTGAGGCTTCTTGCTTTACCCAGAAAAGCCCCTTCATGTAGAATTCCATATATAAAATACAGGATGCCCAATTAAATCTGAATATCAGACACACAGTGACTAAGTTTTAATGTAAGTAAGGCCCCACACAATTTGGGACATACTTATATTTTTAAATTAATCGTGTATCTGAAATTCAAATCAAACTGTGTGACCTACATTTTTATTTGTTAAATCCTGCAACCTTACTCAGTGGTCAGTCATCGTGTGAGCTACAGGAATAAAAGCTGTAGGCTGGCTTTATAGAGAGGTGTGGCTGGAGGAAATAAGAGAGTGAGAATCAGGTTGCCCAGGACTTGAATGCTGGCTATGGCCTTCATTAACCATGTGGTCTTGGCCAAGTTCTCTGACCTCTGTGCCTCCGGATCTTCATCTGTGAAATGGGAGACACAGCATCTAATTTCAGGGCTGTTAGAAGATTCAAGATAATCTGTAACAGGCTCAAACCCAGATAGCTGTGTCATTAATGTGACTCTTTAATAAGAGTCTTTGCCTCTGACGGAAAATGAGCTCTAATCTGTTAATCTTCTCAAATTATCTTTTTACCTGAATCAGGACTAACCTATTTAGAGTGAGGGTGTGCCAAGCAGGAGACAGTAAAGATAAAATTCAAAGTAGAAGAAAGAGTAGTTTTTTTTTTTTTAAATGGGCAGAAACACAGGCAGGAAGAGAAGGAAGAAGAAACAGGTGGAGAGAAGCATAGTGGGAAGCAGTGATGAGCTCCTGGGAGCCAGGAACCTGAATTCGAATCCCAGCTCTGCTCTGACTCACTCTTAAGACTTTGGGCCCCATAGTTTTCCTCTGGGTCTCAATTTCTCTATCTTCAAGATGCAGGAAATGAACCACACATTTGCAGGACTTTAGTTGTAACTGATCCGAAACTCAGTACACAATGGCTTAAACTATCAAACACCTTTTTCAATAAACAAAGAAATAAACTTTCATCATAAGTATATCCCATATATCATTTGGGATATACTTACACTAAAAATTATTCCTTATTTATCTGAAATTCAAATTTAACTGGGCATCTTATATTTTTATTCACTAAATGTGGTAGCCCTAGCCCCCTTTCCTGCCCTGTGGAACCAGAGAAGCTCTGTTTTCTGTTTTCTGTGTTGGGCATCTGTGAAAAGCTTCCCTAACCAGAAGTTTCAGCTGCTGGAAAAAAAAAAAAAGAGAGAGAGAGAGAGAGAGAGAGAGAAAGAAAAGGTCTGTAAACTTTAGATCGATGTGATTTCCATGGCCCCTCCCCCCTTCCAGTTCCTTGTTGCCTTATCCTGCAGGGTTCATAGCTGTGGGCAACAGAAACCATCTGGGGCTAACTGATCCAAGAACAATGTTCACCAGAGGATCTTGGGAAGCTCACAGGACACACAGGAAGGCTGGATAACTACGCTAAGGGGCTCTGCAGCTGGGAACACGGCCCCAGATTGCTCTGCAGGATAATAGCTACTGGGGTGGCTGCCTCCAATAGATAGGCTGAGATTTGGTCACATACCAGTGCACTGGCTGCAGAGCAGGCTGGGACAGTGCATCTCTGGGGTGTTCAGCTCCTGTCTGGCGGGGAAGGACAGGGTGTGCCTCTCAAGACAGGGAATTCCCACACATAAGAAAGGATTCAGATGCAGCTAGAAGGAGAGAGAAGCAATAGCAACAACACTTTTGCTCCTAAAGAAAGTTGGAGCAAGTAGTAGTAGAAACCTCTGGGTTTCGATGTTTGGGGGTGAATTTTCTAACCTAGGGGAGGGTGAGTTTATCAGAAAATCAGTTATAACAGGAGTGTCAGCGGAAAGCAGACTCTGGAGAGAGTTAGGGTCTGACTTTGCCCAGAGGCAGGGGAGGGGCAGGTTCCCACCGCTCACTCTGTGTTCCTTGAAAGTGGATTAAATAGAGCTGCTTAGAAATGCTTCACTTTGGTGGTCTTTTGGCTTGGGGGCAAAGGGAGGGCTAGATAGGTCCTCCAAAACCAGAAGAGCCCTTTATAAGGCCAGAGGCAACTAGATTCCGGAATCTGACTGGTAGATGGGTTTTCTTTGGTCTAACAGTTCAAAAACAAATGGAATCAGTTGCCAACAAGTACACACTGACAGTCGTTATATATAAACCCAAATCTCCAGCTTCTCTTGAAAATTAGAACTATCTGGTAACACTGGAATCAAATTCCTGGGTGGCATCCTCCATGGTAATATGGTTTCCAGTTCACCCTGGTCCCCACCCATCCCCTGTTGCGTCTGGGCCTGGTGACCCTTGCCGCCTGCCATTCTGTCTGTGCTCATGGTCCCCTTTAGTGAAATTAGGAGGAAAGGGAGTTGTAACTTCAGAAATGTAGAACCTTGCTTCTCAACACATAATACTCAGACAGCAGCGTCTTTCCCGCCCCCACCCCCACCCCCACCCCGGAACTGGGTGAAAGTGCAGAATCTCAGCCCCACTCCAACCGGCTGTGTGGGAATCTGCATTTTGATAGCTCCCAGGAGTTTCAGTGCACAGTCTGGATGGAGAAGTGTTGCTTTAGGATCAAGCAGAGGAGAAAAGATCTGCTCCCGGATCATTAAACCACCAGATGGTGAGGAGCCTGGGCTGAGTAGACAGATGTGGCTTAGGAGAATCATTCTGTCACGGATGAGCAGTGTGAGTTTGGGCGAGGCACTCTCAGAATCTCGGTCTCCTCCTCTGTGGTCTCAGAAGCAGAATGGGCCCTTCTGTGTCAGAGGGTGGATGGGCTAAGGCAGAGCAGTCTTAGCAGGTGCCCGGTGGAAGGGAAATCTTTGGGCTTGTCAGCCACTCTTATTCACATCTGGAAGGGAGGAAAGGGCCTTCTCTAAAGCTGAACCAAGGCTAGTAAGTTCTCCAAACCAAATCAGATTTCCTCCATTCGAGGAAGAAATAAAAGCCGTGCTAATAATTAACAAAACCGCAGCTCCCCACTAGCTGTTTGGGAGACCCTGGAAATCCTGCCTCGGGCATCAGCTTTCTCTGGGGGGAGAGAGAGAGAGAGTCTTTCTGTCTGTGTTTTCCATTTGGAGCTGTGGTTACTGCCACGTATACTTAAGACTGATAGAAACTGTTTAGCATCTTACTCCTCTGTTTAAAAAAATTGTGCAGAGAAAGCTACAGAGTGAGAAAGCCTGCATCTCTGTCTGTCTCCAGTGCAGTGGAAGACTTGCTTGGAAACCACATTTAATGACAGGTGTGCTAAAGTCATTTCCCCTCCGGGGTCGATCTCTTTGCATACAAGGATTTTAAAGCCTGTGCATGAAGAGGCTGTTGGCCCCCTATTCCCTCCTGGGGTCTGAGGCCTAGGTCATCAGGCCTTGGCCAGGTGGTTGGACAGAGGGAGCAGCCCCCAGGCTTCCTGCGCTGTGCGGGGCGCCTCCCAGAGAGCCCCCAGGCCTGCCAAGCTTCCTCCAGGGCAGATGGTGTAAGATCTGCCGATGAAGATGAGGTTCTCCCTCCTGCTGAATGTGCATGTCAGCAGAATTCTTTTCTTCTTTTTATTGCTTTCGAGACATATGCTGACTTGGTCAAAATTGCTCCGGCAAGATGTGACTGATGATGTATGAAATGAAAACTCTTTACTCAGTGCTGGGAGGCCGGCGAGTGAGGGGTGTGGACACTCGGCCAGGGGCAGGCCAGACACAATAATACCCCTCACATTTCCAGGCCATCTTTCATCCGGGCAAAGCTGGCTCCAGGTGTGGAGCAGACTGAGGAGATCGGGTTACAGCCGGGGAGTCCAGCACTGGGTGCCCCAGCTTGGGGAACCACAGCTGGGGGCAGGGCGGGGGGCTGTCTGCTGGGGAAATGAGATAGGCCCCAGGGAAGTTCCTAGGCCTTGGATGGCATGGGCGGGGGGTGGGGGACAACGGGAGGGTAGGAAGGAGGGGATATCACCCTTTCCTCCCTGATACCACCCTCCCGCTCTACCCTGCCCTCTGGAGCTCACCTCTTGCTCTTGCTCTGGGCCTCGTAGTCAGGAGGCATTTGCTTCCCTCTGCTCGGCCAGAAAGCAGACCGTCCTGAAAAGCTGTGTTGTTATTTTTAAGCTTAGGAGGCTTTCCGGTTAACATATTTTCCTCTTCATCCAGATGGCGACTAACATCTATCAAATGCTTTCTCTGGGCCCCAGGCACCTTGCGAAGTCCTTTGCGTGAACTGAATTCACTTCCCGAATCCTCCCTAGGAGACAGGCGCTATTAGTCCCCCCATTATACAGATAGGAGAGCCGAGGCACTGGGAGGTTAAGTCCCTGGGACACGACTGCAAGTGGCAGGGCTGAGGTGTGAGACCAGGCTGCTTGCTCCCACTCAAGACTTTCTCTAAACAGTCTTGAAGCCTTTGCTGGTGGCCTCAGTTCTCAGACCAGCATCTGATGTACTCCCAGCCGGATGCTTCTTGTTTGCAGGCTTGTATACATTCATTCATTCATTCATTCAGCAGTCAAGCCAGCGTTCACTGGGGGCGTGGTGCAGTCTTGGGGACTCCTCTGAGGGAGAAAGCAGGGAAAATAAGAGCCCACCTGCTCCTCCAGCATGGATCAGAGGAAATACAAGGTTACATACGGGGTGGTGGGGGTTCAAAGGGAACCTTGTCTCTTCCAGGTCTCGGATATAGAGAGCGCATGGTCTCCATCTCCTATGAGAAAAGATGGCATCCCCGACAAAGGGTGGCAGGTGAGGAGTCTGCCAGATGCCTTTGGCGGGTGCCTGTGCAGTCAGCCCTCAGTCCTCCCTTCTCTTTAGGAATTGGTGTTACTTATTACTACTTATTGAACAGGTGCTCAATAAATAGTACCTGGAGCACCTGCTGTGTGCCAGGCTCAGGTGAGGTGCACAGATGTGTAAACTATAATCCTTGCTGCAGGCCTTCCTGTGGCCGGGGGAGGACAGGGCAGATGCTGACCAATCAGTTGTTTCCAGGTGTAGACTGGTAGCACTTTCTGCACCCACCCGTCTGCCTCATTTGGCTTGTTAAAATCTGCCACCCCCCTGCCCCAGCAAATATTTGACAGTGGATTAAAAAGCAGAGAAGGCTGCTGCAGAGGAATAGTGTTTAGATTTTGGAAGAAAGCAACCTTCTTCCTCTGAGCTGGCATTGGAGGTGGCATAGCATTTGCCCCTGGAAGGCCAGCCCTGGGGGGCACAGGTCGCTGTGGGGAGACAGAGCCTGGTGTCTGTTCCTCACTCTGCAGGGCCTGCGCACTTGCCGGTGCCAGGATGCCTTTCCCTGGGAAAGCTGTCTCTCTCTCACCCTTGCAGGACTCAGGTCAATGGCATCCAGCAGATCCCCTTCCCACCTCCCTCCACTTCTCCCTGTTTATTTACTCCTGTCACTTACAACAGGCTGAAATGATCTGGGTTGCACACTCTCCAGTGGCCACGGGACCAGCCAGCACGCCTCCTACGGCCTTAGTAGGTCCCTGTGTTCATTCCCACCCTCCACAATGCCCATCCCAGCTCTCTCCCTCTTGATCCTCTGGCTCTGCCTGGCTCCAGCCGGTGAGCATCCTTCCCTGAGACGATCAGTGGACAAGCGCTGCTTCCCCTCTGGCCCCTAAACCATATTTAAGGTTCCTGTTTTGTCTCTAGAAGATCAGGTTCCTCTTTCTAACCCTGGAGCTTTCTGCTTCCCCCAGGTGAGGCTTAGACAGAACCCTCCCACAAAAGGAACCCCCTGTCCCCAAACTCAACCCCTCTCTTTTCATCCCAAACTCCCTGTGGTCACCATCCATACAGCCCATCATCTGGGAACCACTGGTTTGTGAGTTTGCCTCCTTGGGGGCAGCCCCCGGAACAGAAGAAGGCAAGATTGAACTTTGACCCTGTAGTCCTCATTGCTACCCTGGGTCAAGTGTTATTTTGCGCTGATCTTACAAATGAAGAAACTGAGGCTCTGAAGAGCAGTAGTTCACCTAAGGTCCCACAGTGGGTTCTGAGTTGTCTGGGGTACCTGTATGCCATGGCCAGTGTGAGCTGGGCCCCAGGTGGGCAGCTCAGTCATTTGCGGAATGAATGAATAAATAAAGGGAAGGAAGAAAGAAGGCCAGGAGCGTCTGGTGGGGTCTCAGGCACAGATGCTGAGAGGTGAACTGGACGCCAGGCCAGCTGCATGCTCCTCAGGCCAGGCAGGGGCTGGTGGGGAAGGTCAGACAGGGTGGGGCGGGGATATCTGGTCTCAGGCTGAGGAGTGGTTGGGGCCCCAAAGGGAAGGAGATGAGGTGGAATTCTCCAGCTCACACAATTTCAATCATTCAGCAAATAACGATTGTGTAGCCACTGTGGCTGCCAGGCCCTGGGTTCAAGTGCATCTGAGAGAGCCCCGCCTCTGCCCCCAGGGAGCTCCATTTCTACTGGAGCGACAAGACAAAGAAGTCACAATAATTCAAACAGTAATTCCAGACGGTGGGAGGAGTTAAAGAAAATAAAACAAGTGTTCCTGGGGTAAGGAGGGGAAGCGACCTTATCTCCCCTAATCTGGGAGGAAGTGGCACCTGAGTGGCACCGGGAGGTGGAGGGTTGGCCAGATGGTGGCGGTGGGGAGGGGTACAGGGAGGAAATTGAGTTGCAGGCAGAAGGACTGGCAAGTGCAAAGACAAGTTAGCAACAAGTTCGGGGAGGGATCAGCGTGGCTGGAGTAAAGGAGGGGCAAGGGACGGGAGGGGTCTGGTGCCACCTCCTGCGGGAAGCCTTTTATTCCGATTCTTCCTCTACACTCCCCCAACTTGTTCTACCCCAGCCCAAATCCCACGGGTCCCGCTCCGGCCTCCTTCCTGTCCGGACTGCGGGTCCAGAGAAGGCTGGGCCGGCTCGGATTCGTCGCTCCGCATCCCCGCGGCGTCGGGCCCGACGCTGGGCACCCTGTGGGCACTCGGTAAATATTTGTAGAGCGCACTAGAAGGAATGAATGAACCCATTGGGCGCAGCTGGGGGGAGGGCGGGGCCGAGGGCAGGTGGGAGGCCGCCGGCGCGGGAGGGGCCCTTGGAAGCCCGTCCTCCTCCTCCCCCTCCTCCTCCCAGGCCCCAGCGCGTACCACTCTGGGGCTCCCGAGGCGGCCTCTCGTGCGATCAAGGGCGTGCAGGGCTTGGGGAGCGACCTGAGGCCCTTGCTCTGGGCGCCGGAGTTCGGAAGAGGAAGGGTCGCCGCCGCCCGAGAGCAAGAACGCGAGAGGAGCCGGAGGAAGGAGCGCTCGCTCGCCGGCCGCCTTGCTGCCTCCCCGGCGCTCGCTCTCCGGGCTCCTAGGTTTGCTGGCTGCTCCTCCCACCCGCGCCCGCCTCTTTGCTCTCTCACTCGCTCGCTCCAGCCGGTTTCCAAGCCCGGCGGTGCGCCCGAGCGAGTGCGGGGCGAGGGGCCCCAGGGCCAGCGCCGAGCCGGGGGCGGGGGTCCGGGCAGAGCGCAGCCGGCCGGGAGGGGCCATGTCCGGCGCGGGCGCAGCGGGGCCCGCCTTCAGCAAGTGACCGAGCGGCGTGGACGGCCGCCTGCCCCCCTCCGCCACCTGGGGCGGCGCGGGGCCCGGTGCCGGGTGCCCGGAGCCCGGGTCGCGCGTAGAGCCGGCGCGATGCACGTGCGCTCGCTGCGCGCCGCGGCGCCCCACAGCTTCGTGGCGCTCTGGGCGCCCCTGTTCCTTCTGCGCTCCGCCCTGGCCGACTTCAGCTTGGACAACGAGGTGCACTCGAGCTTCATCCACAGGCGCCTCCGCAGCCAGGAGCGGCGGGAGATGCAGCGCGAGATCCTCTCCATCTTGGGCTTGCCCCATCGCCCGCGCCCCCACCTCCAGGGCAAGCACAACTCGGCGCCCATGTTCATGCTGGACCTATACAATGCCATGGCGGTCGAGGAGGGCGGCGGGCCCGACGGCCAGGGCTTCTCCTACCCCTACAAGGCTGTCTTCAGTACCCAGGGCCCCCCTCTGGCCAGCCTGCAAGATAGCCACTTCCTCACCGACGCCGACATGGTCATGAGTTTCGTCAACCTCGGTGAGTGAAGGCAGGAGGGAGGGGGTGCGCGTCTTAGTCAGGAGTCTCTGGGGCAGGGAGGGGGCCGCTTCTTAAACCCAGCCTGCCCATCTTTCCACTCCCGGCCGTTTGCAAACCGGCAGCGCCTGGCCGAGGGTCTCCCAGCCCCTCGGCCCTAAGTGGACCCCAAGCTGTGTGCGCCCCAGGTGGGACAAGCCGGGCTCATCTGGCCTGCGGGCGTTTTGGGGGAATAAGGACTGGTCTGAAACCCTCTCCGGGTTATGTCGGAGGCCGCACCTCTGGGGCTGCAGGCGCCGGGCGGGTCGCGGCTCAGTTCAAAGCGCGGGGCTCGGTCATGTGAGATGTGCCCGGCCGGCTCGGCCCGCGCTACCTGGATTTAAAGGGCCCTGCTCCGCGAGGCTGCCTTCCCGCCCTTTCTGGGCGCCTCTCAGCCCTGCCCAGCCCTGGCATCACGGCCGTCGCACTCCCTTCCCCGCCCTAGCAAGCCCTACCTGTCCCCTCGTGGTGCGGCTGCCGTAGCGCGCTGCGCGCCCCGACCGCCTCCGGGCCCCTTTCCTGACCACTGGGCGCACCCCTCGCTCTCAGCTCTCCTGGCTGGAGCTGGGGAAAAAAACGTTGCCATTGCGACCTTTCTATTTTAAATATTTAATGATAGGTCCCGGGCGGGCAGAATCCATTTTCAGCGTTTATCACGTGTGGCGCGCAAACCACGGCTTTTGGCGATTGGGTAGCGAGAGATCTCCGAGCAGACGCCTCCGGGGGAGGCTGGGGGACCCGGCTTCCGACTGAAGTCGCGACGGCCTGGGGGACCGGAGGCTGGTGCTGCGGCGGGGACGCGATGCTCCCCCTCCATCTGTGCACGCACATTCACCAGACTTGCTCAAACTAACCCCCGGCAGCGCGCTGTAGGGCTGATGATCAAATATTTGGCTTCTGAGATAACACGCCCCGATAGCGTTGTTTCCCCGACCCGCTTTCATTCTACAAGTGTAACTTGCGAAAATCCGAACGGAGTCAAGACAGCAAACTCACGTCCACCGGCGCTGTGTCAACATGGAAATAATGATCCTGAAGCCCCCCGCGGGACTCCTGGGGCGCGGATGGAGGGCGCGGGGAAGCGCGGATCAACCTTAATGCTTCCCGCGCCAGATAAGGTCCTTGGAGTTCTGGGACGCCATTGTCTCTCCTTGATAATAGTCAAAAATCGAATAGTGAAACAAGTTTCAGCGAGCAAGGAGTGGGAGGTTTAGATGCCAAAATGACTTTAAGAAAGTTTAAATTATACTAGGCAGCCTGTTAGAATGAGGCAGCTCCATATGTCCTGATTTAGAACACTCTCCAAGATATATGAGGTGAAAAAAAGCAAGGTGCAGATCAGTGAGGTTACACATGTGCTTGTGTATCATCCTTTCCCACTGGAAGAAGACACCATGAACTGGAAATAGAATTTACTGGGAGGTGGGGTAGAACTGGGGCTGGGGCTTTAGGATTTGGGAGCTGGGGCCTGATTTTTCATTGTGTGTCCTTATGTCTGTGTGATTTTTTTTTCAGTATGTATTTATGACCTATACCAGGAAATAAAGAAAACCCCCAAATATGTACATGTACATAAATTAATTAAAGCTGAGCTTGGTAGCCATCCTGCAGTCGAGGGTTAACCAGGGCCCTTTCTCTGGCTGGAGATTTATGCTATCTTCTGTTCTGTTGGGTACCTGTGACTCCCAGTGAATGCAGCAGGTCCTAGTGGCGGCCTTCAGAGCCTGGCTGAGGTCATTAAAAAGGTATTTGTGAGCCCTGGCTTCTGTGGAGAGCTTGCAAACCCAGTGCAAAAAGCACCCTGCTGCTTGTGGCCCAGCAGCATGGCCAGACCCAGGCTTGTCTCCTGCCAGAAAAGAACTTAAGTTGCCACCTGGACGCCTCTGGGAAACTTCGGGCAGGGCTGTTTGCTCCCCCTTGGCGGTGTTGGGAGCAAGCTGGGACTTGTTTGGGAAGGCCACAGCTGGGTGGTTTTTCTCCTCTGGCTGTACACACACCTTTCAACCCGTTAGTCCCATTTCTTTCATCTTGAAAGGACAAAGACCGGCTTGTCTGAGCCTCTTAATCAGTCGGGCTGGCTTGGGGCTTTGTGGGACAGTACTGACTTTCTCAGGTCTTGCTTTGTGGAACAGCGCTCCAAATTAGATGGCAGAGTGGCTTTTAACAGAGTGCACTGACCTCGTTTTCTTTCTTTCTCTGTCCCTAAAACTTGAAGTAATTAGTTGGGTGAAGACCCAGACTGCAGTTTTGCAAGACTCTTCCATAGATGTGTCCAAGGTTGGCCTTCAATTTCTGCTCAGCAGCCACACGCACAGGAATAAATCGCCTATCCCTTCCATTCTTTTGGGGTTCCGGGATTTCTCCACAGGAGGGGCTGGGAGTAGTCGTGGGTTTGGAGCAGGGCATGTAGGAGACCTGCCTGGAAGCCGAGAGAAAGCACATGATTTTTTTCCTGGATTGCAAATCATATTGACCTGTAACATACAAAGTTTTGTAAAGGTGCGTTTAGTCTCACACGTTACCTAAGGGTGAGAAAATGGCATTTGTTCATATCCAGCCATTACTTGTTATGATGCAGCCGACCTGGGGGACCATTAGGGGGCCGTTGATGGAAATCTTGAAGGAAAGCTGACTTTCTTTCTCCACTGCTCTCCTCCCTCCCTTGCAGACCACTGCTGTCCTGCAGTGCTCGGGGGACTTCAGCTTGAATTCTGAAGGCTTTTGCAGACCTGGTGCGTTTATTCTTTCTTCTGTCTGCAGCCAAACTGGTTTTTGTTCTTCTAAGTCTTTCTCCTCAGAATTCAAGCCTTTTGCCAGGCTGAGCAGGATCTAAACTAGAGGGGGAACTAGAGGAGAACTTATGACAAAACCAGGCGCTGAGAATGAGGACCTCAGACTGCACCTTATGACAAAGACCAGCCTGCGCACTAATGCTTGCTGAGCTGTTGGAGGGAGACTCACATCTTCCCAGCCTGGGCCCCTTAAGTTCAATGGCGAGATTTGTAAACCTGTTCTGATTAACAAGCCCCCAACTCCTCTGCTGTACACTGTACACTGAATTTTGGAATTTAAAACTTAAATTACCCCCCAGCAATGTGAGTTCTGCAGACTGTATCCGGTGGCGATAGCTCCCCCCCTCTCCCGCCCGCCATTCTTTCATTCTTTGGAGAAGTCCAGCATCCAGCAGCATCTTTTGGGATTTCCTAAAGAAGCTGGCTGGCAATTGGGGTGTGTGATGCATGTTTATCTCTGGTCCAGGTTATGAGGGAACCAAATTTGTTTCATCTTCGAAGCCAAATTTAAAAACAGAGAAAAAGTTGGAAATCTATCATTATTGGGCTCAGTGTATAAAAGTGGCTTTTGTTAATGTAGCTGCCGGGCAGGAAGAAGGCTGTTCAGTTTTCCTTTTATTTTATACCATCTGGCGATCCTTTTTGTTGACAAGTGTTTGGCATTAAGATCTCTCCTTTTGCCCCTTAAGAACAGGCCCTACCACTGTAGAGTATTAGAGAAAGATTCTGTTACAGTTTAAAAATTTCCTTCAGGGAGTGCTTGCAGAGGGAGCCTGGGCTGCAGGCGTTTGCAGCTGTAACCTGGCTTGTGTTAAAATTTGGAAGGGGCTGTTCCACATTCCAGCACTCGGAGCTCCGGCCCTCACTGGTAAGCAGCCAGAGGTTAATATAGATGTCACCCAGCCTTTCCCCCTTCTTTCTTTCTTTCTGTCTTTCTGCAGAGTGCCTTCGCTACGGGAGTGCGCCAACAGCTGTGTTTTTAGTAACCCTTTCAAAATCACTTCTTTTAAACCTCATTTTCCTGCTTATATAAATCAAAGATCTTCTCCCCACCCCCCTGTCCTCCCAAGGATATATGTGACCCGGATTTGAACTTTTTTTGATCTTCTCTGTATTTCCCCTCCGGAGTCAGAGCAGGTTAAGGCCGAGCAAGCCCTGGGTGCCAGCTTGCGTGGTTGTATGGGGGTTTGATTCCAGGGTTGTCATTTCGGTTGTGGGGTGGCCCACTGAAGGGGTAAGGGAGGAGGCCTAGAGAAAAAGTCATCCTGGAGCAGCAAAGGGGGGACTCCCTGAACGCACAGCTTCCGCGATGCAGCACGTATGAACTTCGGGTCGGGGCCTTCCCTAGCGTCGAGGCCTATCAAGTCTCTGCCGAGATAAACACAGCTGGCCCGCGATCCCCTGACCACCGGCGTGCCTGCGATGTGAGCGAATATCACATGTCTGCTGAGCGCCGAGAAGTGATGACTTCATTCCAGGGAGAGCCTCATCCAAGTTGATTGATCACCCCTATCGCTTTCATATCTTCTTTCTCCCTGTTAGGTAAGGTCATATTTGGCCCATGGCAAGAATCAGAGTGTCCTAATGCTTCCCATCTCCACCCTTCCCCAGCCTGCCCATCCATTTAACCAGCAGAATATTTTGAATGGAGAGCCCTTCGCACCAAGTGGCTGATCACGTTCCTTTTTTTTGCAATCGCTCTTCAGACCTAGCTGGGGGCTGTCGACCTGGCCGTTTTGGGGCGGGCCGCTGCGATGCTTCGCCTAAATGCACTCTGGCAGGGCCACTGGGGTTAGGGCACAGGCGGGGATGTGTGGGACCTGTCGTGTTATTGTCAGAGGAATGTGCAGATTAGCCTGTAAAACGTGGTGGCAGTGGGAGAGCGCTGCAGCTGTGTACACTTATTATAAAAGATTCAAGTCCCACTGGTAAAATCAATATATTGAATTGCATGACCCTCTGCTTTTAATTAGTTTAAATCAAATGCGCCGGTGCCATTTTGCCTCCTCTCGCCTTCATGGGGTGAGGAAATACCAATATTTACATAGAAACTGTTAATTTGTGGTGAAAATGATAACACATTTAGCTTTGCACACCCAAATCGCTCCAACCTGATGGCTCCCAGATCAGGGTGGAGTTGAGTGGTGACGTCACCTGGGCGAGGGGGCAGGG